CGCTTGCGACGCTGCGATGCGACTAATGTAGAACCAGCTTTAGGCCTTACTATGAATACGGGCATTTATAAATCTAGTGACTTTAATAAAATGCGATCGCAGCGCATGCTCGCATTGCAGTATTTTGCATATTTTGTGGTTGTGACAGATTTCCTAACCTAAATAATCGTAAACTTTAACTTAAAATATTTCGGTTCACGGAGCGTAGCGACATTTTTCTTGTCAAATCTTTATTTTTACGCGAAAACGCATCGATTCAGTGTATTTTTATCAAAATTTGAAGTGGAGAGAATCTTAACATTTATCGAAGAAAATACAAGTTTTTTTCTTAGAAGATGAACTTAATTTACTGATACGAAAGCATATGAAATTTGTTCTCTATTTGTATCCCTGAACTTTTATTGATTCGATTATAATATTTATTAGCAAAATGGATATTCTAAGAGCAGAAATAATGAAGAAACGTAAAGAGCTAGAAGAAAGTCACGTCTTAGTATGTCGCATGTGTTAGGCTCTGCGCACAATAGAAGAAATATTAGGAATAGGAATAAATATTAAGATTTTTTTAACCTATCAGATACCACTTACACTGGAATACACGGTTTCTGATAGGTTGAAATCTTAATATCTATTCCTGTTCCTAATATTTCCTCCATTGTGCACAGGGCCTTATATGTAATTTGCGATTTTATAGTGTTGTGTGATTGTACATTATAATATTCGTGTCAATATCTCTTTTAGGAAAATAATAAGAAGTACTTCAAGAGGAGTCAGTTGATATCAAAGCAACAGGAAGTGTATGAAACTGATAAGGGGAATAATGAAGCTATTCTGTTAAATGTTAGTCAGCAGTCAGAAGAACATGTGACAGACAGTAGCTCCGAACATTTATTGTCCAGGCAAGAAGTAATTAGGCGATTACGCGAACGGGGAGAGCCCATATTATTGTTCAGTGAATCTGAGATAGAAGCATTCAAAAGATTAAGGAAGTGTGAAATCCTTGAGCCAGAAGTGAATAAGGTGAAATATGTTATACTGTTACGTACATTACTTCTATCAATTAAAATGGTTTTAAATGAAAATTTTGATTGTAATAATTTATCAACAGGGCTTCAGAAACGATTTTCAAGAGGCTATGGAACAAGTAGATCAAGCATATCTCAATGAGATCTTAACATCTTCCAAATCCCAAAATCTTGATGGAAAAGGAGATGTAAATGTACCTGACGAGAGCGTTACTTATGAAGACATAGAAAAGATGTCAACTAAATTGAATAAAGGAGACAAGGACTTTGATATGAATGTCATCACTCTGTTTGTACAATATCTAGTTCAAATATGGGGTAATCAATTAAACAGTCGGTCAACTGCTGAAAAAATGAGCACAAAAGGAAAGATGAATAGTGCCACGTATGCTCAAACGAGAGAGTATTTAAAACCACTTCTAAGAAAATTGAAGAACAGATCTCTTCCAGAAGATATTACTGATAGTTTAACAGAAATCGTTAAACATTTGCTACAGCGTAATTATATATTGGTACATATGCGATATATTACATATAAAATAAATATCCTGTCAATGTAATAAATATAGTAATGGCAAATATTTGTATCTATAACAAAATCAAATTTCTGTTTCAGGCTAGCGACGCCTATTTGCAAATGGCAATAGGCAACTCTCCATGGCCTATTGGTGTAACTATGGTTGGTATTCATGCTCGTACTGGTAGAGAAAAAATCTTCTCTAAGAATGTTGCTCATGTCATGAACGATGAAACTCAGAGGAAGTACATTCAAGCACTCAAAAGATTGATGACTAAGTGCCAGGAATACTATCCTACAGATCCTTCACGATGTGTAGAATATTCAAAAGATTAAATTTTTTATGATAAAGTGTATGTTTTTAAAATAAAGTAGAGCGCTACAATTTAAGTTTACATGTAAATATTTACATGTAAATATGTGTGAACATCGTATTATTAGAAATATCAAATAGCTTATTACAAACATCTTTTACAAAATTTTATTACTAATTCATAATATTTTTTTTAGGTAGAACAATATTCTTTGTATGCGTGCGTATGTATGTGTTGATAAATGCAATTTTTTTTCTTCATGAATTTCAATATTAATTACAAAAAGTATAAATAGATAAATTATACAAGGTCCCAAAATTTACGATACAAAATATTGTAGCATGATTGTTCTTACAAAATTAGGTAAGCTTATTCGTAAATTTTTATTTTCTTTAAGAATGTATTGGAGTCATTTTTACAAGTGTATTAATATTTATACTTTAAATAAACTATATATATATATATATGGAGTGTCCCATTTTAACTTTGACACTGAAAAATCTCGAAAATTATAAAAGATATGGAAAAATGTTTCAGAGAAAAATTGTAGGGTTTAAAAAGATTTATTCGTTGATCACATTCGTTTGACCTTTGGTGGCGTTGCCAAAGTCAGATCAAGGTCAAGTCGATTTTTTAAAATGTAACGTCCTATTTTTTATCCCAGCATCTAATAGCTGGTGTCAAGAGCTTTTCGACACATTGTAATAAAGTTATTTTCCGTCGTAAAAAATTGACCAATTACAGTCGAATTTGAGAAGAATATTGACTGTGCTTCGTCCATTTCTTATGGCTTAAGACTAAAACATCTATTGTAGATCCGGACTTAAGGCCGGAATCAGACTACGCATTGAAGATTGAGATTTAAGATTGAAAAATTCAAATTTGACCAATCGAAACGAAAGGAGCTAAAATTTCTTTGTTCTTATTGGTCAAATTTCAATCTTCAATCTTCAACCTCAATTTTCAATGCGTAGTCTGATTCCGGCCTAAGAGAGAGGGACTGTGACGACCATCTTTATCTCTTTCTATTCAATGGTGTAATGGGAGAACGAATGAGAGGGCGATTGACCTCCACGGGAGAGTCTTCCGGTCCCTCTCTCTCATTATTGTCGACTGTTGTACATCACATCCACTGGTGAGATATCGCATTTATCTTCTCGGTTGTTTTCACGTTCATGGCCGTAGTCGGACAAATCAGACCAGCCAATAGAGATTGGAGAAACTCGAGTATTGTCGGTAATTCCGTCCGACTACGATCATGGATGTGAAAATAACCGAGAAGGTATCGCGCAATGTCAAAACAGGGATAGAAGGCATTAATGGCGCGAACTGTACATCATTCTTTAAATACATTGCTGAAATTCAAATAATTTAATAGAAAGAGAGTTACTACGCGTATCAAAGTTTTAGTGGGAATCGTAAGGTCGCAAACAAATCGACCAATCACAATCAAAATTGAGATCTCGAGTTTTTAAACACTCGACTGTGATTGGCCGATTTGCTTAAGGCCTTATGATTACGACTAAAATTTTTGTATGTGTGATGGCCTTTATTTCAAAACCGTCTTAAGTAATGTCTTAAGATGCTAATATAGCCCTCTGATTGGTTCGTGACATCTCAAGACTGAACTTAAGACGGTCTTGAATATAAGAATATACTGACTATGAATACCGGCCATAGAATAGGCTTATTGGCCTTAGTATATGTTCTGTGCTTACGGTATTGTGTACATACATACGTAAGAAACATACATGGTAATTATTTACTGCTTCAGCGCATAATTATTTAATACATAAATCGTAATCGTGATCAACTATGACGGAACAGTATCTAAAATCCATCAAAGTCGGATTTATCGGAAGTGGAAATATGGCTAGTGCTATAGGCGCTGGCTTAATTCGTAGAGGTAAATATACTTGCTCATCACTCAATAATATCCATTCCTATTAATATAAATTAACTCTAATTTTGGTTTAATTAACTTCTCATCTTTCTCTAGTTCTAAGAATTAAAAAAAAAATTACGAGTAAATTAAATTGAGATTAAAATTAATAGACATTGATAGAAAAGAATATGAGAGCAAGGTAAATTATATATAGAAGAAACACTAAATATTTTTCTTTCTAAATATTTCTCTGCAACAGGTATATTAAATCCAGATAATGTCTGGGTTTCTAGTCGTACAGACAGAACACATGGATTTTGGAGGGATGTAGGGACTCATCCGACGTTGAAAAATAATGAAGTTGTGAGCAACTGTGATATAGTATTTCTGACAGTAAAACCACATATGTTGGATGATGCGCTTGAGACTATTGTAGAGAGAAGAGTGGGTAAAAAATTCGAGAGCAAGCTTTTTATTTCAGTACTCGCCGGAGTATCTCTTGATGTCTTGTATACTGTAAGTAAAGTGGATGTTATGTAACACATAATGTTCCAATTTTCATGATAACTTATACAAAATGTTTTTAGAAACTCTCTGCAATTGTGATTTCACCAAGAATAGTTAGATCCATGCCAAATACACCTATGATGATTGGAGAAGGAATTACAGGTAAATTAAAAAATTGCAGTGGCATAAATTAGCTAATGTGTTAATATAAGGTGTAATTTTTAGTTTATTGCAGCAACAATGCCGAAATGAAAGATCTGGAACTGGTGGATACGCTATTTTCTTATATCGGCATGAGCCAAAATGTTCCAGAAAGTCTTATAAACAGCATTGGTGGTTTGTCAGGTAGTGGCCCAGCATTTGTAAGTTGTTATAATGATTGTTATAATTAAAGAAATGGAAATAGTTGCATATTATTATTATTTCAATACATTTTTACTTAGGCATATCTCATCATAGAAGCATTAGCAGATGGAGCTGTGAAAATGGGGGTACCAAGGCCAATGGCAACTAAATTCGCAGCGCAAGTGCTAGTAGGAGCTGGAAAAATGGTTCTCGAAACTGGACGACATCCTGGTCAGTTGAAGGATGAAGTCTGTTCGTCTGGAGGTACCACTATTACTGGCGTTCACGCTATGGAAAAAGGAGGAGTCAGGTACTTCAAAAGTTATTTTATATATTTCATTGTTAAATATATACAAAGTATAAACAAGTAAATGTTAAATGTAGCATCAGTGAATAGATTGGTGTGTGCGCTGCGTGCTTGCGTACACGCATACATAATTATATATATACACACATGTGAAATGGCTGGTAAAAATCATATCACCTCTGATCGTAGGCAGGTGGAGCAAATAGATTTTCTAAATACAAAAATCCTCTACCGTTTTAAGATTTTTTTTCAATAATTAATGAGAGAACCATAGTTGATATGATTGTTACGATCATGTAATGATTTAATTTCTAAATAATCATGAGATTTATCTTAATAATTGAATACAGGGGATCTATGATGAATGCTGTGGAAGCTGCTGTGAATAAAACAAATGACTTAACTTCTCAATTAAAATAATTCCTTTTGAATTAGTATTTTGAAGTACATGTATTAAATAAGCTGTTAATGCTATTATTTATTTAAGCTACAATTTATAACTACGAATAGTAATACAAGGCTATAGGAGTCGTCGCTGGATGAATTTACGAAAGAGTCAAATATCAATACATAAAACCGATTTATTACATCAAATTAAAACCTGTATGTTTCGACCCGTGTTGGGGCCATCCTCAGTAGAAATTAATGTTAATAATAATGTTAGATAAACGCTGTATGTTATGTAGTATTGTCTCTAAAATCATAATTTCACCCATGATGTTTAAAGACTTATTGAATCTTACTTCAGCAAATCAATTTAAGGAAAAGTGGTTTATTAATTTGTCATCTGTTGACATTCTAAAAAATATACAGAATATATTACAATTGGGGAATAAATTTTCTCTGCCGATTGATAAGAGTGGTAAGAATGCGATTATTGAAATGATTAAGGGCCACTGTCACCAAGCTCAGTTAACTTAACTGGCCAGTAAGACGTAAGCAGTAAGGAAATCAACATGTTGGATTCGCTACTGCTTATGTTATGGCCTCATGGACTCTACTGTGATTGGTCAATTCGCTTACTGCTTACATTTTACTGCTTAAGTTTTTTTGTGTGCCATGGCCCTAAGTGTGTTGAAAAAATCAAGAAATTACAAAGTTCTATTTATAATATAATAAGAAATCAATCTTTACGAATTATTAATAACTACATTTCTCGCTACTTTCCTTTAAGCCTAGAAAGAATAATTTTCAATCGAAATCCATTCCGATTTTGTTCCATGATAGGTACAGTTCGCGCAATTAATGCCTTCCCAGCCTATGACATCCATAGAGATATAAGAATAGAGGGCAAAAGCCGTAGGTACAGGCGTTAGCGGGATAGAAAGAGAACGCTGCATAGTTACTCGTGCCATTCTTGTTTAATGACGCATGCGCGCAGCCCATCCATGTTTACTTACAAGCATGGTAGTGAATATGCCGGAATTAACCGCTTTCGATTTTACAAATGTTTTTGTGTACAGTTTTTTTAAAAAATGACTGTAAAGTGTATCGTGTGCAAAAAAGAATCAAACCGATTTTCTGATCGCAGTTTTCATAAGTAAGTACACACATATTGTACGTATACATAACAAACATACAAACCTAACCTTAATAAACATTGTAATTAATTGTATAAAAATTGATATCTGTAGTTTCAATGATACTTTTCTATTTTAACTATAATTTCTTTATTTTTTACTTTATTTACCATAATTCTTGCTTAATGACACATATTCTCATCATAATTTTCATCATATACATGATAAAGAAGAATATTAAAGGTACCATTTCTTCTGTATTTGCAATATTACTTTTTTAACACCATTATTTTCATTACAATTAATTAAATCATACATGAGGATTGTTTATTTATAAATCTAGCATTGCATTTTAACATTTTCAGTCCTATCAAATATGTAACGCGTACTTATCACGACAGTGTCCAAAACATGAATTTGGACACTGTCGTGCTTATAAACAAAATATTTCGCATCATTTCCATATTCTTTCTTCATGATTTTAGAAAGGAACATGTTTTCCGCTGTCTTCGCCAAAAAATCCGAATGTTTTTAATACATTTTCATGTCAAAATCAATTACTTTGCATTACAACTCATCCGCCGGCGTTTGAAATCCATCGGCTCCGCGGGGGCCACGGC